CATTGGGCCAACGTTGGGCCAATGTAATCGGTTACATCGGGCCAGTGTTGGCAAATGACATTGACCCAATTTAAGTTTGCTCATCGGCCCAATGTTGGCCCGATATGTTGCAATGGGCCAACGTTGGCCCAGTGTAGAGTGTTATTTCTACAGATATTTGCCCAACGTTGCGCCAACATTGTCCCAATGAATGCGACATTGTTTGACCAACGTCAATAGGAACATTGGGCCGATGTTGGCAAATGACGTTGTTCCAGTGTCATTTTGCTCCTTGGCCCAATGTTGGCCCGATATTTTGGACCAACATTGGGCCAATGTGTATAAACATTTAATTGTTACAAATCTGTTTATTAACAAATCGTCTCTACAATCAAAAATAAATCTACAACCAATCCTACTTGAAAGTACAAGCTAGCTAAAATGAATTTACAAGGCTTGTTAAAATTCTTATAATTTATCAAAACAAAATAAATTATCAGTGATTAAATGTTTGTTTTTATACAAGAAAAATAAATTAAACTAGAGGTACTGTGAGCAATGAGCTCACTAAATGATACCCCCCGCCTCCCATATGGTTATAACTGGTGAAAAAGTCCATGGTTTCCTGTGGCCGGGAAACCCAAAATATGTTTCGGATCAAAAAGTAAAATAGGAGGTGCACAATGGCAATATGTAATTAAGATTCTGTGAAAGTTGCATCAATTTTCATTCAGTGGTATGAGAGGAGTTGCGGATAAGAGATGGGTACCCCAAAGCGTAACAGACGGACGGACGGACAGACGGAATGACGGACGGACGGACGTACAGACGGACGGAATTAACGATTACTATATACCCTCCCGCTTTTCAAGCGGGGGGTATAATTATAAAGTAACAAATGTGTTTTGATACAGTTAAAACAATAAATAATTTGCCCTTTATTTAGATTGAAATGTGTGACTAGTAAAGTACATTTCCGAAGACTACCACTTAATTTACTTATATACACTTAACGTAGAGCACATGATCAAACATTTTGAAAATGTTAACTTGTTGAAGTTAAAACTAAATTTATTCAGTACTAAACATAAATTGGGTTCTTTCAATTAAAATTTGTTCAGTGTAACGACTTTTCTATACATGTATTTTATGTAACATTGAATCGTTGTGATGATGATGATGATCGTTGTGATGATAATGATGATCAAGCGTAGAAATGTTATGCATAAATGCCTCCATCATGCAAACCTTAATTGACAGCTTAAACATATAGTGATAAACTTGTAAATTTAATTGTATGTTTACTCTTTACTGAGAAAAGTAACAAATGTATTAAGTACCAAATACTACAATTTTAGTGCTACTGGATATTCTAAAAAGACATTTAGAACACAATCAAAGAATAGCTAAGGTATGCCATGGACAGGGATGGGGGAGGAAGAAACGGACAGAGAAGAAAAGAAGGGGGAGGAAGAGACTCGGGAGAGAAAAGAGAAGACTTAAGAGAGGGATCAGATGGAAAGTGGCAGTGCCTAGCTTTTTTCTGTTATATACTGTGACAAATCTGTAGTTCTACCCTTTTCTGTGTCTGTTTGTCGGTTACAAACACGATGCAGGTGCCAGAAACATTTTCTTTTGTGTAAGTAAACAAAATGACGGGATTCATTTTAGTATTATTTTAAGAACAGGGGGGCTTTGTTTATTTGTTGGACCTGCTTATTGATACCTGCAATTTACTGAACTTGTGCATAAATTTACATCAGAGAGGGAGTACACAGTCATGTAACCCTACATGCATCGCTTGAAGTGAGCATCAACTTTTATTTCTTTATTAATGTTTTCTTCATGTCCAGCTGAGCAATAAAATACTAGTATGTTATAATTTAATTTTATATTTTGATTTCTTTCTCCTCAGTTTTTTAATTAATGCTATGAGATATGTATTGAGAATATGTATTAAACTATTAATCTAGCATATATAGATAGTATCAAAGGGCTTTTACCATTAAACTGTACTACAAAACTAGTATAACCTTAATATATGTATTTGTTTGTCAATTTTGAGGACAACTGTCCAACCAGTGAAGAGCAAATGAGTTGTCATGATGGAGAGCCAATCAGATACAAACCAACATTGGCCCAAAAATGATGTTTGCCTAATATTGAAAGAATAAGTGGCCCAACAATGGCTCAATAATATCCGTTCGTTGGTCCAGCAATAAGCCAACAAGTTGGTCTGATTAAGGGCCGATGAGCAAATTACCGTTGGCCCAACATTAATTGCTTACAATGGCCCAAATGTACAAAAATGATGTTTGCCCAACATTGAAAAAATACATTGGCCCGACAGTGGCCCAATATTTACTGTTACATTGGCCCAACAATAAGCCAACAAGTTGGTTTGATTAAGGGCCGATGAGCAAATTACTGTTGGCCCAACATTAACTACTTACAATGGCCCAATTGTACAAAAATGACGTTTGCCCAATATTGAAATAATACACTGGCCCAACAGTGGCCCAATATTAACTGTTACATTGGCCCAACAATAAGCCAACACGTTGGTTTGATTAAGGGCCGATGAGCAAATTACCGATGGCCCAATGTTGAATACAAACGGTGGCCCAACATAAGGAGCATTGTTGGCCCAACAAAGGTCCAATAACATCCTGCTATCTGGGAACAGCCTTTTTTTTTTTTATTTTTGAGTGTTTGTTACAGAATACTAGTAGTCCATTCAGTTTCTGATATGCGAGGTAAGATATTGGGATAAAACGCATTCATGTATAATTACAGGATTCTCTTTTCTCCACGTTATACGCCTTTCCTTATGCCCATTTAAAGTCTGCATAGCTAAGTATTCGGCGCTCATGAAACCCGTGCTAATGCAAAACTTTATGTGTATACTCCATACGATAAACACTTGTGTGAGTTGATCTATATACATAGAATTTAAGCATTATCGATGAAAATCGGACGCCTAAGCAAAATTATATTTACCATCATATAATATATTCTTGTAAATGTTATAATTGAACTTGATAAAAACTTGCTGGTGCGATCAATACCTCTGTAAACGATTACATACTATCGTGCATTATTTTTTTTTTCTTTACCGAGATAAAAATGTCAAGGTTGTTCATGGTAAAAATGTGGGGAATACCTTATTCTTCAAAAGTTTTCATCTTACTTCTACAGATTTTTTGTTAAAAAATCTTTTTGAGGAAAAAAACAAAAGCACGTGTTATCTTTTTGTTCTTTTAAAATATGTTTTGGGGTGTGTAAAAATCTGTTGTCTGATTGGACAGAAAAATAATTACGTGTACTTGATGTACATTTATAGCAACTTTCGGTTATCGTTCTTGACTTCCATATTTAGAAATCGTCCAGACCTGTTTTTGGTTACGTTCGTTCGTAAGATGTCGGTGTTTCTCTATAGAACGCTGCTTTTTGTAACTCAAGACTACATGTATATACAACTATATACTATAATTTATGTTATATTGATTTGGAATTTTGACTTAAGTCTGTTCTCAGTATATATGGTCATATGGTCTTGAGGCTTGGAATATACAATTACCAGTTGTGTTTTGCATGGATCTGATATTCATTTACCTGGATAATCTAACCTACATTTTCCAGGACACAGAAATACATTTTGAGAATGTCAGCAATGCTCATTTGATAGGACAGGCCTTACCTTTACCTGTAGATAACACCCAACGAGATGAGATTTAATTGTAATATATTTAATAGCGAGCGTAGCGAGCTCAATAGACTTACGTGTAAGAACAGAGGAAATTTGGAATGAAATCTGTACATACGTCAAGCATTTTTTTTTTAAACCTTCCCAGAATTCCTTAGCTACCCATATGCCCTTTGCACGAATAAATAAATAAATAAATAATAACGTTAAGCATAAAAGGCTTTCAGTTTGTAGAAATCTTTAAAAGAAACAAATAATAACTCTGCAATGTTTTTCGACAAAAATTGCTCTATGTCTATAGTTTTCAACTAGACACTCGGCTGTTTCCGTAAATCCTGACGTGCTCTCGTGTGACGTCATAGTCTAGATGTCTCTTGGACTTGACGTTTCAAGTGGCGGATGAACGTTTCAGGCATATTTTTGAAGACACAACTGCGCTCGCCCCAACGGTCACACCGTAAAATATATTAATACAGTGCATATGTTTTGTATGTAGATTAAAGTAATATGAGTAAAGATCAAACTACTTTTCTCTATTTCGTTTAGAATGCACTCTTTTGATTAAAGCTGCCACCTAGCGGCACAGTAAAACAACTGCTGTCACCTAGTGGTGCTCCAAGGGCAATAAAAATTCAAGATTGCCAAAAATGCATTTATTTCTACTATAAATGTAAATTTAATTTAAACCCTTAAGCTAATTATTAATTAGACTAAAATAATATCCGTACGATGAAGTAAACACCATACTAATACTCAAAGGAGAACATGACCAAACGTTCCATGCAATTGGTTCCATAAATGCAACACCCCTGTCACCCCTATAAACAGTATAAACTGGATATTATAATATTTAGTGCAATTCATCAAAGATACTAGTCTTTTTTTCTTCAATTATGTCTGAACCTTAAGTCACCAATCGCTCAAATTAAAGGAGAAAAAAGTCGTGCTCCAATAACATATAAGGAAATGTGTTTTAGTCCAGTCCAAATCAAAGGGAAATGTAGTTTAAGACTTTTATTATTTGTCAAGTATGCCATGATAATGCAATTCTCACAGCTATGGTCTATTGTTTTCTCTGTGGGTGAACATCATTATTCTATCTTCAAGTGGATCACTCTCAACCATTTGAAATATAACTGCAAACCAGCCTTTATTAATCTGAGATGAACAAATTCAGTCCGCTATATTCTAGAATTGTGTCTTTATTGTAAATATATAGTTGAAACAAAATTTATTTTGAAGAGTTAGATTTAAGATTCTATCTACCATCCCACAGTATTTTGTCTGAAGCGTAGTGTTTATGAGAAATATTTCATTAGTTCATCAGCATACAATATTTCCTGCAGGTATAGATCTTCATTGCAACCACTCTCAATTTTCCAGAATGCAGACCAACCCAGTACCTTCCCTTACCGTCTACACTTAGACCTCCCGGTGTATCTAATCCACAGTCATCCACACATTGTAAGAATTGTCCATTCTGATCCAGAATATGCAGACAATCATTGTTGTCATCCGTCACAATGATCTGACTCTTGGAATCATTAGCTATGTGCTCTGGACAGAAATATTTCTTTCTCCTGGCTGGAGAACCTTTGTAGCGGAATCTTACGTTCTCTTTCTTGTCCACAACGACCAATTTCCTTTCATTTCTATCGGAGGCACATATGTCCCGTTTCTGTTTTCAACTATATAAAGTTTAAACCTTCCTCCCCGGTAAATAGGTTTTCCATTAGAATCGTTCTCTATTTCTTGTTTTACTGTTTGTCCCTTATAACGTACTATTTTTTGATTGCTGTAATCATTTGAAGTCATGTTGACAAGGATATCACCTGATTTGGTACAGCACAATCCCCGTGGCTTCCAGCCTTCAGGTGCTTTTATAAGCTCTTTTACCAAACCCAATCTGACAATCATCACAGTATTATTGACACAGTCTGTGTATGTAAGTTCACCATAAGGAGACAATGAGATATCAGACGACTTCCCTGTGACGGTGATACATACCCTAACAGACCCATTCACGTCAATATGATATATGTGTTTGCATTTACCCACAATCCATGCTTCATCAGATGCAGTACAAACTATTGCATAAACATCACCTAGTGGAGTTTGAATATCAGCAACCACTTTGTCCTCCCCAGTTTGAGTATCAGCAACCATTTTGTTATTCCCAGATGATTCTGTCGAAGACAATACAGAATTGTCACTAGTCTGGCTGAAAAGTTGTGTCTGTGTTAATGTAGCTTTATGTCCTTCGAATTCTATGCTGAGCTCTTTACCTGGATCTGTGTTTATTTTTAAGGAAGAAAGGCTCAGATCAAATGGGTATTTAAGAAGTTTGGATTTGTAGTTGACTACTTTCGAGATTGTTCGGGCACGTAGGATGTATTTATTTTCATGTATTGTGTTCTCCATTTTCCTGATCCTTACATAAGGTGCAAGGATTTGTTGGACTAATATTGGGGGTTTTAATGCCCTGTTCTTCTTAGTGTTAATTGAAACCTGGTATTTGTTAAAAATGTCGTCTACCTCTTTATGCCAGTCTGTTTTGGATCCTTTCAATTTTCTTTCAAGCTCATTAATCTTTGCTGTTACTTCAGAAATATATGATTTGCGTCTGATAATTTGCTCCTCTGAATCCAATCTCTTCTGGAGTTCCTCTGTTTCTAGCAGAATTGTCTTCCTGTTTTCATAATATTCAAACGGAATTTCTTCGATATTATGGCTTTTGTGTGAAGTAATGACGCATTCCCTGCAGACCAGGAGGTCACACTTTTGACAGCAAGTCTCATATGTCTGGCCTGGGTGAAATTTACAATGTCGGGTGTTTGTAAAGGGAACAATGTTATGCGGAAGTAGTGTATGTTTTTCGATCTGTTCATTGATATAATTTTTACAGATTTCGACGTGACAGCTATTACAGAATTGAGAGCCAGTATCGTTACATATGTAACAAGTAACGGCTTCTTGTGGCCACGGGTTGGATGTGGCCATCCTCTTGATTTCTGCGTATTTTCCAGTTTATCTTTACTTAATTATCTTAAAGAAAAAGTTAGAGAATTTTGAGTAATTTGATAATTTGTGTTCCCGTACGTTAAATTTCAGCCTAGATAAACACGACAAATGTAGTGAAAAATGACACTTTTTGAAATATTTAGCATTTATTACTCACCCCTTTCTCTGTCATGTATCAAATATATGTAACATATTCACAATATTACTTTTTACTTTCGGTTTGATAATAATTTTTAAAAATTTCACTGATGCATTACATGAATTAACTTACTTGTAAAGTAGTACTTAAGATCATTATCCAGGGTTGTCTGTAGTTACGCTCCCAACACCTCTGTCAACGCTCGTTGTACAAGATTCCTGTGCTCATTTTGAAGGGTAAAAATTAGAAATAAAAATTGTAATTAATTTTTTTTTTCATTATTGAGAAAGATCATAATTTCACATTTCTTTCAAATATATTATCCCCAAAAAATGATTTATTTTTAAAACGTAAAAATCCTTTCAAAAGGAAACAGATAGAGATGTTTTAAAACATCACTGGTTTCTGGAGAGCAGATTGAATAGCATTTGATACATACACTTGAACTTGCGTAAAGAAAGGTGTAAACTATGGAGGAAAGAAAGATGAATGTTTTTATCATTGTTACTTATCACGCACAATAGAGATTGGAAGATTTTGAAATACAAATGAAACAATATAGACTATGTCTCCAATAGCTGAATTTCTTAATGCGGAGCTCTAAAAAAAATGAAAATATGAGGTATCCATATCAAATTTTTTAACGCAATTTAACCATTTGGGATTGCTTCTTTATAGTGGCAGATATGAATCCCGCTTAAAATTTATTCAAAGTTTTTAAAGTCGTGTTTGTTCACGACATAATTGTTATATAATCTATTTTATTCCTAAACATGCATAAAATTTACAAAAAAAAGTTTGTTCTAAAAAAATTAGAGCAAAAAGTTAAACCAGAAGTCTCTGACGAGACTGTAGCTCTACTGGTTTATACTTACTCGTATAACTAAGGAAGAGAAATATAAGAAGTATTTGAACTTGAAACTTTGCAACAGCAATAAATCAAGAATGATTAATCAGTCTTTTTTTTTGGCAAGATTTATTGCTACATGTACCAGACTAAAATATAAATGGAGTAGCATCTTAAAAAAATATATATATATATATATATATATATATATATATATATATATATATATATATATATATATATATATATATATATATATATATATATATATATATATATATATATATATATAAAACTATTTTAGCAACCGTGGCAACACCCTTCATCGAAATCAAAAACTTATAAAAAGAATTATGTATCTTAGTGTAATCTACTTGTGTGCCAAGTTATAATGAAATCAGACTAAAACTATAAGAGTAGTCGTATTTTGAAAATATTTCAAAGAAATTTCTCTTTCTAATAGCCATGGCAACATCGTTCATCGAAATCAAACTTCAATACACAGAATTTTGTATCTTAGTGTCGTCTACTTGTGTGCCAAGTTATATTGAAACGAGACCAAAACTGTAGGAGAAGTAGCATTCTGAAAATAAATTTTTATTTTAGTAAACATGGCAACACAGTTCTTCAAAATCCAAAATCAATTAAAAGAATTATGAGTCTTATTGTAGTCTACTTGTGTGCCAAGTAATAATGAAATCAGGCCAAAACTGTAGGAGGCGTAGCATTTTGAAAAATTGTTTACAGACGGACGGACAACAGACATACGGATGGACGACGGACACGTTACTATCTCATTAGCTCCTCTGGTCTTCGACCAGTAGAGCTAAAACCACGTGTATTGTTTATTTTCTCATACGTTTGTCTAAATGTTGTTATCTGATTGGTCAGAAGCATTAGAAGCTTGCTTATTCTGAGTATTAATAGCAAATGTTGGTTATTGTTCTTGAATTCCATATTTGGAAATCGTCCAGACCTGTTTAAGGTTCAACAATAATTTAATCACATAATAGAAATAACATTATTTGAATTAAAAGTTTTTGAGGAAAGAGAAGGGATTCTTTTTAAATTGGACTGAGGTCTTTGCGCATGACCGGTAGTTTACCCCATGTACACATCGCTAGTGACTCTGAAGTTTCAGTTAGACGTCTGCTCGACAAATTAATAAAAGAATTTCGTAATTATTGATGTTTTTGGTAAACTTATAAGCACTTATTAACATTTAAGGTTTTTACGATATCTTTTATTGATCAAATTGATATCTAATGGAATTTAACAATTATTAGGTGCCTATCAATAACGTGACGTCCGACCTGAAGGCTCAAGAGTTCAATTTTTAAGACGTTACCTCATGCATTTGTCCAACAGTGAAGGAACTTCCCTGAGCATCGTTTCTATATCTTTCATGACTACATGCACATTTAAAGATGCCAAACAAGAAACAACCAGACACCCCTTTCTCCTCTTTTTCTTCCCGTGCATGGGTATGACATCAAATATAAATAAGGACAATTGTCAAGGGCCACATCAGAAGTTGAACTTGGGGTAGAAACTAGAAACAGATGGTGTACATACCTCATGCGTTATCAGGACACTTTAAATCTGATCATCTGAACAACACAAGGGCTATGTATCCTGAGGACTGATCGAGAATGTCATAATGCATCTCAAAAATATCACAATGCAACTATGACACATCTTTTTTTTTTTACATTAATCGCGGTTTTCAATTTTTTTTCGGAAAATTATAAAATCTAATGTTGATTTCATCATTTCAGCATAAAGATGCATGAATAATCAACACTTATAAAAGTTGAAAATGCCAATTCAGAAAATTAAAACTGGTTTAAGTATGATTATTAACCACACAATTTCAAAATAAATCATATCAAATACGTATTTATGTCTAAGCCTTTAACAAGTGCATACTCAGTAGATTATATTGTTGTTGTTTTTTTTTTTATCTTACTCTAGGAATTACTGTAGAACACAGTCACGTTAGACGTTTTTATCAGGAAACAACCGGTTTCTTTGCGAAAGGCAACAATTTGACAGCTATACCAAGTTAGACCAAAAAGTTTGTTTTCCGTTTTATATATCAAGTGAACTCGAATCCTAAATTTAAAATTCACATTTTTAAAGTTTGACACATTGTGAATAATTGCACTCCACTCCTTTCCAGGATATCGAAAAAGTTTCAGCCCAGTTTCTTGAATTTTGTACATTAACAAAGTTTATTTTCAGAATGAAGTAAATTAAACGCGTAAGAAAACTATGCCATTATTCAAAGATGAAATTATTTATACAATATATAATGTATAGTCCCAGTAAAATAATTCCGAAGCAAATGGTTCCATAAATGCAACACGTATACATACTAATAATTATGATTTCGTGCAATTCATCAAAGATACTAGTCTTTCTTTCTATTCACAAATCTTCTTTAACAGAGTCACCAATTAAAGGAGGAATAGCGGTGATCCAATCGCATATTAGAAAAAAACGTGTTTGTTACATTCAAATCTATGATAACAGTGCATATGTAAAGTTGAGTATATTTTTGCGTTCTTCCGACATTTAAGATGCTGTACCGTAAATCTGGAAATCTTTGCTGTAGATAAATTTTTAGCAAAATTGCGAGTTCATTGCATTCGCAAAAATATTTTTCTTAAAAATAATTCAACAGTAAGAAAATGGAAACAAAGTAGTGATCATTCACAAAATTTTGAAACGTAAAAATTTATCAACAGCATTTTGACCCAGATTCGCAAAAAAATAATCAACGTAAAAATTTCCAGATTTACGGTATTATTTAAATGATTTTCCATGTCAAGTGCATGATCATCCCATAGTCACAGCTACAGTCAATCGTTTTCTGTTTTTGTGAACATATTCATTTCATAATTTACTGAAATGCTCTCTCAGCCATTTAAAATATAAATCTGAGTAGAGAATCAGTCAAATATATTCTAGTAGCGTGTCCTTCTTAGTCAAAGCAAATAGTTACAGTTTGGAACAGTTAAATTTTAGATTCAATCTTTTTTCTCATAATATGATGTACAAAGCGCATTGCTCAAAAGAAATATTTTATTAGCTCAACAGCAAATAACCATTCCTGTAGGTTTACACGTTCAATGAAATCACTTTTAATTTCCCGGAATACAAACCAACCCAGCATCTTCCCTTACTTTCTATACTTAATCCTCCTGGCGTGTCTAATCCACAGTTATCAATGCATTGTAAGAATTGTCCATTCTGATCAAGAATGTGTAAACAATCATTGTTGTGATCAGTCACAATGATCTGACTCTTGGAATCAGTAGCTATTTGTTCTGGACAAAAATATTTCTTCCTTCTGGCTTGACAGCCTTCATATCGGACCGCCCCTTTCTCGTCCACCACGACTACTTTCTTTGCATTTCCATCAGAGGCACAAACGTAACCATTTGTATTTTCACTAATATATATTACAAATATTCCTCCCTTGAATATATACTTACCAGCAGAATCTGTCTTTATTTCCTGTTTTACTTTTTGTCCTTCGTAACAAACTATTTTATGACGGCTAAAATCATCCATAACCATGTTGACAAGAATATCGCCTGAACTGGTGCAGCAAATGCCATATGACCTCCAGCTTTTATGTGATCTGCCCTGCCGAATCTGAAAATCAATACAGCTTTATTGACAAAATCAGTACATATAAGTTCTCCCTGCTGAGTCACTGAGATGTCAACTGTCTCCTCTGTGAGGTACACGGTTTCCTTCACAGACCAATCCAAGTTTAAACGCACTATATTTCTTCCTCCACCAAAAACCCATGCTTCATTGGATTCAAGACAGGCTATTGACTCAAGATTATGATCGGTCAATGAAGTTTGAATATCAGCTATCAATTTGCAAAATGGTTCTGCTAAAGACGATCCATAGTTATCACTGGTTTGATTAAAAAGTAATGTCTGTGTAAAAATAGCTCTGTGTTCTCCAAATTCTATGCTGAGTTTACCACGGTCTGCGTTTAATTTTAAGGAAGGAATGTTCACATCAAAATCGGCAGGAAGATCTTGATATTTTTTAGGATTTGGTTTGTAGTTGATCACTCTGAAGACTGTTTTGGACCTTAGGATTTCCTTGTTTTCGTTTATAGTTTGGATCATTCTCTCAGATTTGCTGTCAGGTGCATATCTTTGATCGGTAAGGGATTTCAGGGCCTTGTTCTTCAAAGACTTAATCAAATCTTGGTGTGTGTCAAACATTTCATCTACTTCCTGATGCCAATATGTTCTGGCTTTTTCTAATTCTCTGTCAAGCTCTTCAAATTGTAGACTTGTTTTAGAAATCTTATCTTTAATATTTGAATCACTGGGACCACTTTGCAGCGTCTCTAAATCCAGTTGCTTTTGAATTTCTTCTATTTCCAGCATAATTTTCTTCCTATTGTCATGGTATTCGAAAGGAATGTCTCTAATATTGTGGTTTTGGTGAGATGCAATGACACATTTCATACAAACTAGGGCATCACAATGTTGACAGCAAGCCTCACATTTTTGACCTGGGTGTTTTTTCACAATGCTGGCTAACAACCCCCAAATTTCTTTTTATAAAGGGCACAATATCATGCGGAAGCAATTTATGGGTATCGACATGTTTATTGATGCAGTTCACACATAGTTTGATTTGGCAACTGTTGCAAAATTGATAGGCAGCATTGTTACAAATGTCACAAGTGATCACCTCTTGGGCCCATGTGATAGGCGTGGCCATTTATCTTGTTGACCTTTAAGAAAGATTTAAAGAACTTAATTGAGAGATACTAACAAACTTCTTGTGTATATGTGATGGGTTTAGACATGTTTGTGCACATGTGATGGGTTTTGGATGCAATACCAATTTCGCATGATAATCTGAATAGAAAAGGAGAATTTTACAATTTGATTGGTGCAATCGTTATAGTTCAGGCTAATTAAAGATACTTTGAAATTAAACATTCATAAATCATACTTACTTATCACTCACTCTTTGGCACTATATTTATTTTAGATTAAAAATATCCTGATAAAACGGAACAGTTGCTCAAGATTCACCAGCTCACTTATTATTTCAGATGGATCTTAATTCCTGTGAATTGTTACCCAGAACTATTTATTTTCCCCAAAGGATATCACATCCGTGTTTGAGTTCGTGCAGTATGCTGCTGCAGAAATTGTATTTACCTTGTTATGTAATTTAAATTCCCTCCGAATGTTAAGGACATATGCAACAAAAAATTGAATGGATTGTATAAGTTTGTAAACCTAGATTTTTAAACCTATTTGATGGTAAATGACACAAATATTAAATTTCTGGAATATATTAGAAAAAATACCCTAGAGGACATCAATTCTGTTCTTTGAAACATATCTGAGTTAAAAAGAGAAGTCTCGGCAATTATTTACTTGAATTTTTTCTTTCTGATGAAATAAGATAATTTGATTTTTTTCTTTTGAAAAACAGTTTCATTTTATGTCACTTAGGACATTTTGTTGGTCAAATTGGATAAAATTACAACGAGATTTCATTTTGGGGGAAGGAGGGGTTAATTTCTTTTATATGTTGCTCTAAATAAGCCCATTTGTTATGTTTTGAGAGACTTTGGATATTTTTTAATGTAAGGATTAATCTAATTAAACAAAATCGTTGTTATTCTTCCTACACGCATGGTGTTGGTACCTCAGCCAAATTAATGTATTTTCATCAAAACAGGTTACATGTATTATGTTTATAATATTGAAAAATTTGTTTGTGTTCATTGCAGTCTTTGTAACTTTATCATTAATGTACTGAATGAATGATTGTAAAGGTACTGGCATTGAATGATATGCACACTTCTTAATAATAAAAAAAGAAGCATTTTCATTTATATTTTAGTTCAAGATATAATTATATTTGACTTTGTGTCTATTCAATTTAAGAATGTAAGGAACCCTTTTGTGTAAATAACAATACCAACTGAAGCGATCTATATATCATTCCTATAAACGATAACCCATAAATAGGTACTTAGCTGGTCATTTGTCACAGTTGAGTTACCTGTCCTTAATTTAATATTGTCACTACGTTCTATTAAATAGCTCCTAATCACAACAAACCCCATGATTTTTCCTAATATCCTCCCAAAGAAATTCATTTTCAAAGAGACATAGCCACAAGACTGAGCTGAAAACTGTCTAAAAATGATCTCTTCCAAGAAGATGAAAATAGGTGCGAATGAGAAACCCGTGCTACTTTACATATTTCGCCGAAGAACTCATATTAAAGATATGAAAATATTTTAAGCTCACCTCAAGTTTGGGGTGGGGTGGGGGTCGGGATTATGTGATACCCTCGGTATCGGCGTCCCAGGTGAAAGTTTTTCTATTATATGAATCAGAGATGCACGGAAGATGCTTCTTCCAGTGTTGTTCATTGAACAGATGCTTCTTCCAGTGTTGTTTATTGAACTGATTCAGATGTTGCATTTTCAGGAGAGGAATGACGTACGGATTAAAGGTACTTGGACACAGATTTGAAGTTATTATTTTCTCTATAATATTACGACTTATATATTTTAATAGCATTTCACACAAAAATTAATTAAAAATCTTATTTCGTTTAAAAGATATTGAAATTTCAAATTTTTCGGCGGGTTTGATTGACATATCTTTGCACTCTCACAAATTTAATTTTATTCTTAATCCTTAGGAAAAGTGGCAATCTCGTTTTGTATAACTGAAAAATATTAATACTATAATCCAGAAAATTCAGAGTAGACGCGTTCGAAAGCAAAACAAACACACAATATACTGTCAGTCCGTGCAGTTGTGGTAAGCAGACTGTGACGATTGAACGCACCCTGTGAATTCTAAATAAGTTTTAATAACTTTTAAATGAAATAAGATTTTTAATTAATTTTTGTGTAAAATGCTATTAAAATATATAATTCGTGATATTATACAGAAAAAATGAGAAAATATTAATTTCAAATCTGTGTCCAAGTACCTTTAATATTTTAGGAGCAGGTTAAAATTTTGGGTGAAGGTCTTATTTTTAGGTAGCTACAAGCCCAAATCTTGACCAAACTAATATGAATAATACTTCTAAGGATGCAAAATACCAGGTTTGCTTCAGATCCTGGATGTTACCTACATTTTCCGGTTGAGTGAACAGGTTAAAGTTTTAATTGCAGGTACCATTACAAAGTATCTATGAGCCTTATGATGACAAACCTTGCATGGGTGATACATCTAACAGTACACATACACAAACTACCAGACTTGCTTCGGATGCTGGATGTGACATATATTTTCCGGTTGAGTGAACAGGTTAAATTTTTGATGCAGTTCACATTTCCAAGTAACGATGAGTCCTATGTTGACCAAACTTGTATGAGCGATGCATCTATGGATGCATTTTATCAAGCTTGCTTCAGATTCTGGATTGTTTTAACATTTTCTGGATGAGTAACCAGGTTTACAGTTTTTTTGTGCAGGTCTCATTGCAAAGTAACTACGAGGGTTGATCCAAAAATATGTCTTAAACTTCGATAAATATAATAATTATCGACATATAAAACAAAAAAATTGTATATATTGATACTATTTTTATTTCAAATCAAATCTAGACCTCAAAATTAGAATAAATTTGATTTATACTTTTCAAAATATCGGATTGTGCACAACATACCATTAGGTTAGTCGCCACACCTAATAATGTCATATGACGGATGCGCACCTTCATACATTTAAACGCTTCCCCTTTGATTCAGTTAAAAGAATTAAGATCACAAACGCATTCACAAATTTCATTTTTTAAAATAATTCTTGGTTCCCGTCGAACATTCACTCTTTTCATAATTAATTTCCCAGTCAAAAGTTTTAATTAACGTCACACACTATTAAACGTTTCCATCCGATCTCCAATCGTTTGGTCTTCTTCGCCTCTGCTCAACATTCAAAGAACCATCACACACCCAAAATCGCTGAAATAATATATAAACAAGTCTCTATAAATGAAACCACAGAGTCTGACACATCTGTTTCATATTTGAATATTTTACTTTGAAAAAAGTTCATGGTAATCTAACAACCAAGCTATATGATAAACGTGATTAACTTTAACTTTACAATCGTCCACTTCCCTTACTTATTTAGCATTATACATGAACCTTCATAAGGAGTTTATGTATCTCAGTTGAATCGATACACAACAACATCCTCTGCGTAAGAACAATTTCTAAAACGAGGTAAATTATTGACAAACAAGTTGATGAAACAAGAATATCAGCAGCCCCATTTAAAGTCATAATTGCTTAAGTTCTATGGTCGATACAATGATCTTGTCACGCAGCACTTTTATGGCCTACTATGAGAAATCGGCGGAAAATAGACGTGCAAAAAAAGGGGATTTTTTTTAAAAACTGAATTTATTTTAATTAAGCTGTTTTATTATCACAGAACTTAAACACTTAAATATTTGACTTTTACCGAATATTTTGTATACTTATAAAATCACGCCCTCGATTTAAAGAAATCAGGAGCACTTTTCAAGTTAAGAAAAATATCCTTTATTTTAAGAAATAGCATAGTACAACCCACTCTGTACTGTATGAAGTTTGGTCCCATCGATGGACAATCACGTGATGAATTCATAGTTCGTGTACTGAATTAAGGTCATCAACAAATTTCAATATCGCAAGGGCATACCCTAGTTGAAATTAAAAATTCAAACTATTAATTGTTTCTGCATACTTTGTAGTTATTGAAAAGTGCTGCTTTGAATAGAATTCAGTTTTAAAAGTTAAATTTTCAAGTAAATAGTACATGTACAATGTCTAAATGTATTTGACTTTTACCGAATATTTTTTGTACTTATGAAATCATGCCCTCGATTTAAAGAAAGCAGCAGCACTTTTCAAGTTAAGAAAAATATCCTTTATTTTTATTCTATAAATGGTTAATATCTATTAAGTGTATGCCCTTTCGAAAGTACGAATTTATGAGGTATCTCATTGTAAAATATGCGTAACCTGTACATAAAAACACGACACAATTAATAAAATACATTCTCTTGATATTTTATGAATAATCGCACTAAACCAAGGATATACAGTTGTATTAATCGACTATTTAAAACCTGTTGTGACCGGACGGGAAGGGATGCTAACTCTGCCATAGCACCTGATTCTACCTCTAATGTTTTGGAGGTCCGTGTAAATTCTGCTCCTATTTTGTATTGTTTTAAGGACTTTTGATCTTGAATAATGTTCGTTATCTCCATATGTTTCATTACATTATTCCCTCTATGAGTATGATTAATCAATTGTTCTATTTTTTGAAAGAAATACAGGATTAACAAATGCAGAATTCACTCTGCATATTTTGTATTGGATATCATTCTTTAGGAAAATCATGAACTTGTTTCACGAAAGATATGAAATGTTCATTAAGGCCCTATCTCACTTTCATTTTGTAAGTCATCTTCAAAATATTACTTTGAGAGTTACTAAATTTCTATGCAAAAGAACAAAAAAAGACACACCCTTCCCTGGAAAAACGATTAATCTCTCCCTTAAATAAGAATGAGACCATGTGCATGTATTGGAAGGTTGCAGTTGATATAAGAATTTGAAGGAATAATCCAGTCCCAAGCGCCGGTTCTCTGCACGGTGTCAGGTCATTTCTCTCTAAAACTTTTTCTCTCCCAGGTTATTTTTCTCTCCTACCATTTCACAGTAGGTCATTTCTCTCTTCTACCTAGGTCATTTCACCCGCTTTTTAATCTGATCTAATTAAATTATTTACAATTTCATTCTTGTGTTATTAACGTTTATCTTGTAAAATAAATTAATTTTATCTATTTATGACTCATAAAAATCGAACGAATAAAAAGTGTGTCGGAATCTTATTTACAGGGAAATATAACAATAAATTGATATTGTTGCCCAGCTCTTGCCACGTGGAGGACACTTCGTTACCAGAATTTATTCACAAAACTTCTACATAAGTAGAAGGCACTTGCTATAACTTTAAACTCGACAATCAAATAAATCGATGAGGTAGTATCCTTTTGCAATAGTAACTTTAAATTAGTCCCCCGCGTGTTGCAGTGGTTAGTGCGTGCGTCTGCTCTAGAAGATTCTTACATTGCGGGTTCGAATCACAATGTGTGATGTGGAGACTGATGTTTCGGAAGAGACCGAAATAAGCAAGGTTTCGTGTCGTCGCAGTAGCTTCAGACACAAAACATCACTGCTCAATAGCCGTATGCATGTATATGACAAAATATGCAACTTGCCATAGGCAATTGGTGGCCTCTCCATATGAGGGAAAAATTCTTGAGTGGGACATTAAACAACAAACAAACAAATGAACAAAAAGATTTCATTCATATGGCGACTCGATATTTTCAAATTAACCTGATATAAAAATACCACAAAGTCTGACACGTCCGTTTCATATTAGGATATTTTGCCAGAAAAAAAGCCGCTAATGGTAACTTAACAATAAAAAAAATATGATTATGTAACATAATTACTTCAACTTTTCTTTCGCCAGCTTCCCTTACTTCTAAAGCGATATACCTTAATCTACATATGGGGTGTATAGCTATATAGTCTAGTTGATTCGATAGGCAAAAGCACGTTCAACGTACGACCAAATTCTAAAACGATGAAAGCTATTGACAAAAAAGTTAACGAAGCAAAGATATCGATAATGTTTCAAGTTATCATTTAGCAAGTTCTATGGTTGATGCTTTGACCTTATCAGCAAATACAATCTATCATTAAGTCAAATGATGGGCGATTCATATTGATAGTAAGGCCGTTTTAAAAAAACCGAATTTTCAGTTTGCCCGAGCACACGGTGGCTGCACCCTCCGTGACAGATGATCCCACCTCTGATGTTTTTTTTTTAGAGATTCGCATTTGCGGTGCTCAATTTTCGTATTCTTTACAATAAAAAAAAAATATTGCTGTACATTTTCTTCATATCTAATTTTTATAAAAAATCTATACATAACTGAGATACATAAAGTATATGATTAATGCATTAAAAAAAAAAAGAAAAAATACATACATTCCAACGATATAACTTTTACGATATTCAAAGATAAAAGCTTCTATAACACATTTATTTAAATGTTTTAACCAACATTTACCAGGTGAGTATCATGTTAATCCTCCTGACCAGCAGCACCTTTCAGAAATTTTTGCAGACCATGAAAAAAGACACCTACAATGATAATTAGGTATGAAACGTGTCCAATACTGTAAATATCATTTATGACAGTATAAATACATGTAGTTTTATGCTGACAAATGACTTTATATTGCAAGTTGTGTTTCATTTTTGTGTTATATGTTTGTTCATATAGTAATTTAGTTTTAATTGTAAGCCCTAAGACGGGCCTAAGCAATTTTTTCCACTGTGAGCCTCAGGGTCGTTGCTGTAATCTGAATGGTTGAGAGTTAACATCGCCTTATACGATTTGTGAAGAAAAGTAGACATATTTTGTAAGAGGAGGCCGGAAAATATTTTTAAACCCCTCCCAATTCTCCCATATTTTTTGACAAAGAACTTCGAGCTATGAGCCTTTGGACCTCACCTTCTGCCACTTACAATGATTTCACAAATAGTTCAATACATACATGTGTTAAGTAATAGTTTCCTAGGTTATTGTTCATTTAAGTTTTGCTGGAGAGAGGAAGCATAAAAGGTTTATAACATCACTGTGGTCATCAGCATTTACAACGCGGGATATTTTTACTCTTAGACATATATTTTAGACATATATCAAAATGTGTAACAAATTGAATGCAAATATATCGTCTAAATGCACTGCAGTAACACTCTCATTTAAATATTTATAAAAGTTTTACAATAATTTTGATATAAATACAGGGCATTGCCTTATCGAAAGAAAGAATCAAAATCGTACGAAATATATTTAACATAATTATATGCTGTTAACAATAAGTTTATCTTAATAAAAAGTATTGTGAAGTTTCTTTGCCAAAAAAAAAAAAACTATTAGCAATGCATTGAATCAGCACAAGTACAATTATTAAAGTGATAATGTTTTCATTACCAGCTATGTCAAGCTCCAAAGCCACTGATTCTGTGACTCCATCTATATCAATTTCATAGATCCCTGCATCTGCAAGGTTGGTGTTATTTATTTTCAGCTTAAATATCATCTGGTGCTATAGAACTCCCCTCATACTTTGGATTCGAAATATCGATGTTTTCTATTTTAATGCCATGCCTTCTTCTCCATTGTATTTTCTTAGGGACCTGTGGAGAACAAACTTCGACACGATAAAGCTTGCTATCCCCAACAGAGATCTTTTTTCCTCCATGTATTATAATCGTTGTATCTGCTGTTGTAAAAAAAAGTACAAAACGTAACATTATACTTTTATGTTACACAAAAATTTTGATACCTTACACAATTTGTGCATGTGTCCTCAATAAAACGTTTCAATAGAATACCCGCATCTGCTAAGTTAGTTGAAGAACAATAATTTAAAATTTTCCCCTTGAAACACTATTTAATTTTCCTGTTTAGACAATATTTTCAACTCAATATTTATTAAGCCGATTTAACTTTAAAATCCATCAAACAGAAAAAAACGCTTTAAATTATGTGAAAATACTTAGATACAATACAGCATAAACATAAGGATAAGGAACATGGATTGTAGTTGATAAGACAATACAAAATAAGACAATGTTAAAAAAATTAACAGAACAACTACAGAAACCTTTACGTCTTCCTAGCTCTGCGCACTTTATAAGCTCATATGACTTTTTTGCGACAATGAAACAGTGTAATAATATGGAACGAAACAATAAAATCTTCAGCTATAGGACTCTTATCGGCGCTTAATTACCATAAAATCGAGACGAGTATCTCCAGTGAGAGAAATACTTATTAAAAACCCCTCTTTAAAATGTCAATTTCTAACATTGCAAACATTTTAAACATTCAAGAAAATACCATATAAAAAAATCTCGATTAATTCTATTTTTAAAAACCAATGTCAGACAACAATGCCAGAGAAAAACTTCGAAAACTTAATATTGCTAAGTGGCAAGTACACTGACATGAGATATGAAATGCATCTCAGAATTGATATATTTGTCTTACTTTAGTTCGATAATTTAGATATTTTTTATTGTAATATGTAACCTTCAATTGTGCAAAATATCATGTGAGCTAAAAAGGTGCGCGGAGATGGGTTATACATATATAAAGAACAATAGAATTTAATAGAATCACACATTCCTTACCTAAAACCTTCATAGCAATAGAAGCTATTCTTTGTTCTATAACAACCTCATACATTCCTTCATCTTCAAAGTTGACTTTATTGATGCAAAGTTGAATTTCATGAGGTGCTATGGAACTCCGAGCATATTTGGGGCTTGATATATCGATTGTTTCTACTTTGTCCCAAAAATTTCTTCTCCAACATATTTTGTTACGAGAATCACTTGCAAACACCATAGCGAAAAACCATGCAGTCCTGCCAAAACTGACGGATGTTGTTCCTTTTATTGTAATTTCTGTTGAATCTAGTAATGAAATAGATTTATGTTCTTTTTTAATCTTTCTTAAATAAATCAGATTTATCAAATTGTTTCAGACACTCAAAAGATTACAAAGAAAGTTTTCAAAAAGTAATACTATTCCATATTTCTTTCAAAAAAATTTTAGTGTCAAAACCATATGCCTACCTGCATGTACGAGTTGACGATTCCAAGCAGATTGGTCAATTTCCATCTGTGTTCTACCTTGTGTTGCAATCCTACTGCAATCTGTCAATCAAACCAGAAAAACTGGTACGTAATGTTAAAAATATGAGGAAAATTAATGATACAACTACAATGCTTTTAATATCAGATTTGTGGATCCTTTCTTAAAAACAAAATTCCCTACAAGGAAGATTGGAAAGAGTACTTATAAAAAATCTTATCGCAACTTTAGAACAGTATACAGTATAAACTTTGTAGCTATACATCTGTGATGCTGTCATAGCTGCTTTAGTAAAAATACTAAATTAGTAATTAATAATCCCTCTCCGAAGGATTGGATGTATACTGTTTTACCCTTGCATGTCTGTCTGTGAATCTGACTGTCCGTAACAATTTTTCGTTACTGTTTTTTTCATGAAATACTTATAACAGATTACAGATGCTTAATTTTAGCACACTATTTGCTTTGGTATGCAAAATTAGTAGTATTATATCACATGAGAGTGTATTTTGACATCAGAGCGGTATTACGAGTTGGTTGAATTTATCATTAGAGTGTTTTTGCCAATTTCTTTTATATGACGTCTGTTGTTGAATTTTTTGGTCAATGACTTTTCTATATGTTTAATGTTCTCTTTAAACAAGAAACTAACCAATGTGGCACACATTTTTCAGAATATATTCACCATTTCTCTGAATAGAAAATTGAAAACAAACAATATGAGATCAATCTGGGAACTAGGAAATACAAAGTGGTACATATATCATACATATATGATATACATATATATTAAACAAACCTATTTACTTACCCAGTACATCCAAATCAATAGAGTCCGTAATACCGTCAATAACAACCTCGTAGGTTCCTTTATCTGAAAGCTCAGCATTTCTGATGCAAAGCTGAATATTTTGTTGTGTTATGCTACTCTCTGCATATTTAGGATCACGCAGATCAATATCTTCTGTTCTTTTCCCTAATTTTCGTCTCCATTTTATATTCCCAAGTGGTTTTAAAGACAATACTCGGACAAACAACTTCACTTTCTGTCCAATGTGAACATTTGTTGATCCCCGTATGGAAATTTTTGGAAGATCTGTTATACAAGAAACGCAACGAAGATAATAAAACTAAGAAATATACTTTCTATTTATTTCAAATCAAAAGCATTGAACTAATAATGATATTGTTTCTATATATATATATATATATATATATATATATATATATATATATATATATATATATATATATATATATATATATATATATATATATTGAAGCAGAAAAAATCCACAGTGCTCGGTAGTTTACAGGTAAATCTTTTTAAAAAAGAAACACGAAAACCTTAAATTTAAGCTTAAGGATGATGTTTACTCAGGTTTCAGAAAACAGAAAGGAAATTTCATAAAGTATAATATATTAAATCAAAAATTGTTTTAAATGGATAAAATCACTAAGTTTTAACACAATATCAATTTTAAAATTTCATATTTTATTATTTGAAGAAAATATACAGGAACAAAAGTCAATGTATAGTAATGCAGAGGAAATTCGGACTAAATTTTTATTTTTTCATTTTTGTCAAAATCTTTTATTTCTTGCAATAATTTTCAAAATGTAAAGATTGTATGTTTCTCCAGACATCACTTTTCAAATTTTATATGTCTTAAAGCCAATAAATTATTTCAAATAATTAAATGCTATTAAATAAAGAAATTCAGAAATATGAGCAAAAACCATTTCAGGCAATATATCTCAATAATTTGATCATTGACCCCATATAATGTTAATACCATGAGAATTATGGTAACAAAGGTGATATGAGGCTATAAATAATTTAGAGTTCTCATCAGTCATATTTTTTTAATATTCGATTAAAAATGGGGAAAAATACAAATATGACAGAGGAAATTCGGACTGTAATAATTTAAAAGTTTTTGACCCTAACTCTAATCGTTTCTTTATATGAAGCAACAGAGTTTCATTGCAATAATATTTCAATATTTAAAGAGTTTTGTTGCTTGTAATATTTTGTGAGTGAAGAAATAATTGGTCATAGTATGAAAAATCAACGTATTTTCCAAGAAATACTAAGGGGCCACTAGCATGAAAAGTAGGTCATTGACCTAATTATTTGAAATCAAAATTTAACACAAGAATTATAGGTGTACAATGTGCAATAGGTGGTTTTTCGTTCTCATCAGTGGAATTTTTTAGTCATCTGAGTAAAGGTATACCTTAAGCGCTTTCATTGCAAATCTTTAGAAGCTTTTAAAGCTTCTGAAGATTTGAAATGAAAGCGCTTAAGCTAAATTTAAGGTTTTCGTGTTTCTTTTTTTAAAAGATTTACATATATATATATATATATATATATATATATATATATATATATATATATATATATATATATGAAAATTATTTTTAAAAAAAACACACACAGAACGAGTAAAACATAAGCGCTTTCATTTCTTCTTCATGATGTTTTACAATACTCATGGTAACGTCTATTATGACGTCATAATAACTTAACGTTAACAAGTCTTTGATTGACGTCATATTTTTCCCGTACTTTCACAGAACAATGCATTAACAAAGCATACAACAACAAAGCAATAAATGTGATTCAGTAACATAATTTACATGTAAAGAAACAATTCTTTTACATTAAACTATTTAATTTAGGTTTGAAAGTCCTTATAAAATGTCTTTCTTTATCACGTCTTTCAATTGTGTTAGAGTTGTGCAGTTTATAAAATGGAAAGACAGTAAAAGTTCTATTTCCGCACACGTCTAAGTGTTCACTGACTTTGAGTTTGCGATATTGCGGTACGTTTATTTGTTGTTTGTGTACTCTGATCCTTTCCCGTAAGGCACTTCCCGTCTCGCCGATATATAGTTCCCCGCAACCGGAACATGTTATAACGTATATAACATTTCTAGTTTGACATGACATGTTATTATTAACAGTAAACTGTTTCCCGTTAAAGTTGAAACTTTGTCCTTGTCGTATGTATGGGCAGGTACCACAACGCGGATCCTGGCACTTGGTCACATGAAATTCTGTCGTTTCTTTAAAGGAGGACTTTGTGAGAATTCGTCTGAGGTTCTTCGGCTGCCTCCTACTGTTTATGAATTTCCGATTTTTAAATATTTTAGACATAGTTTCGTCGGTTTTCAAAACGTCGTTGAGTTGGTAAACAATCGGTGCAACGTTTGTATTCTGGGGATTATGGGTCGTTACTACTAGGGCTGGGCAAAAATATCGATATTCAATATATTGCAATACATTTACAAAAATATCGTACTGCAATACGATTTTGTTATATCTATATATTGGCAATATGAATAGATTAAGGAATTTTGTGATTGAATATAAAAATGGACTTATGAAATTTTGTTATTAAGCCAAAGAGTAAGACAAAAGTTGCTTTGTGGGAGCATTTCAGACCATTAACTTAAATGAAATCAATAAGATTTTTTTTCGTGTTGGTTACTTATCATTGTTATGTACATTCTGCATGTAAATTAAAGTAAATAAAGTAAGAAATTAAATGCCATTTTTATTAGATTAAAAATATTGCATTACATATCGCAATACAATTAAAAATATCGCAATATATCGCAATACGAAATCTTGGGCTAATAAATACCTATCCCTAATTGTTTCCCACTCTAGCGCCAATTTTGAAAAACCATGACTTGACCAAACTTAAATTCATTTATTATATCTTTACTGAATTTTCCCTATATGCAATAAGACCGTTGGATAATGACTAATTCCCTAGAAATCGTTATGAAAGGACTAATCCCTGTGCTTTAGTCATGTGAACTATTCCCTGCGTTGAAAACTAACCCAGATTATCTGTAATACTCTTATTTTACTTTTACATTGGTTAGTTTATAGTGAGCTAATCCTTGGTTTAAAATAACGCTGAATCCTCTACATTTTTTGTTTGTATCAGTATGATAAAAGTTGAAAGTGTATCATTGCTGGAGTTATCGAGATTCCAGTTCCCCTCGACAAGGACTACTTTCCTTGGCTTCGCCTTAGGAAGTAGTCCTGACCTTGAGCAACTGGAAAATCACTATATTCTACTACAAGTGTATAATAACATCGGGATGCCTCAATGTCAATAAACTAACATTGCATCGCTGCCGTTCTAAAGAAAAGTTTATTTTCCTTATACATGTACACATATACTATGTAAATTAGATATAATGATTTCCTATTCCATTTCAATTTATCCCAATTAAGACAATTCAAAAATGAATTTATAATAACACAAATGTTTGTTTTATCTAAATTTTGCAAAAATTATCAAATGAACTTAGAGCTCCCTTCAGAAAGTTTAGCAGGAGTGTATTAAATTAAAAAAAAACTCAACTTTTTTGCCCAGTCGTCTAGTAAGACTTGAAATAAATATCTTTTCATTATAAACATACGCAAAGTAAAATATTTTGTAGCCATACATATAGTACGAGGGCCGTTCAAAAATTACGCGGACTGTGCTATTATCTACTCTTACAGACGTCATGTAGTCATGAAATTTCAAAGAAATATGTATCCTAAAGATTCCAATAAATTTTGGGCAAAATTTCTGTTTTTTTTTTTTTTAAATTCTACTAAAATTGTCGGTATGTTGATATCGCTGATGGAGAGGTACGGAGCACGACAAAAAACTTGAAGCAAAAGCATGCGGAATGCAAATTTTACTCATTAATTTTCTATAATTCGCGATATTTTTCGA